ATCACCGCTACCGAAGGATACGGCTGCATATGTGTACTCATATATCCATGCAGCATCACGGCCGCTTCATACCAATCCCTTCGCTTCATAATTTGCTTAGCAAATGAATCGATTAGAGCGTCAGGAACGGTCGTCCATTTGTGGGCGGGCGTGGCGGGCGTTTGGGACGTAAAGTGGCTTGATAGGGCCCTTATAAGGGCACCTTCCTCGGGGAAACCGCTATGCAGCGCCTGCCCAGGGTCGCGGAATTCTATCCTGCCAGGAGTATTGATCCTAGTCGTCTTGGGGATTTATCGTGCCAACTGCCTTTAAGGTGCTCCCTTTTTGCTGCTTGTGGCGGCAAACCGAAATTATGATAGAGTTACGGATATGGGCGCTTCCGTGGATCATTGCGGGGGAGGGACGGCAGGGCAGGAACACGCGCGCGACCGAGTGCGCCTTTCCACGTCCTCTCAGGGAGGCAGTAACCCTTTCCCTTATGATCAGGTTCGGAACTGTGCGGACACCAGGATCCGGTTCACCTCGTCTCAAAGCGAAAAGGAAGGGGCTCAGCAGCGGTGTTGCCTCCCACCCTCACTCTCAACCACAATAGCACCTGAATATGTTGTTTTCTGCCTAAATGATTGTTATTTTCAGCAATCTCGCTAAAGCGCCAGGTGATGTGTCCATGAGTCCGCACCAGTTAATACTATGTTTGTCAGCAGCTAGCAAAAAGCTTTCAGTGGTGAGGGAACCTTTGATTTTTGTTTTTATGCGCTCCTTTTCGCTTACAACCGGAGTAATTTTGTTGTGAGGTAAATGGCTAATCGATTTTCTTTCAGAATATATGTCGGGGAATACAATTACGAATTTCTGAACTGAAAGATGCGATCGATAAAGGGCGGATCTCAGAACGATGTCTAAAAAGTCTCAATTATGTTGTCGATTGTGAGTGCTCGAATTTTGATCGGTATTCTGAAGCGATTTTCGGCTTGGACGAGCATCTTTGCGCTTAGCTTCGGCTACTTCCTTTTGTACCTGTTGAACTAATAGGTCCTACTTTGGTGAGACTTGTGAACTTCTGTTGAACTGCCAAATGGTACTAGTAAGCCACTTTGGTCACAGGGATTTGCAGGTCCTCGCAAGTTAAAATATTGGACGAAAACCCTACGATGCCCCCTCTTAGACAAACTGCGCCGTCTTTTCATTGCTGCATGTTCCAAATGTTCAAGTGGTTTTGACTGGACATCGAAAGCATGGCACATTCCGATGGGATTAATCAAGGAAGTCTGCCTTTCCTACACATAACTTTTCATTTCAGCTATCGATCGAGAACAGTATGAAGATGCGCAAAATTTCTATGAACGTCTACGGGCTGAATTTCCGAGTGAAATGGGCCCATGGGCACAGCAAGGCATTCGACTATTGATTAGTGAGCTTCGACGACCGGCTTCGAGGATTGGATCTGCAGGGCATGTCAGGACACAATGATTTATCAAATAATATGTAATACTAACGGTTATAACGACATTCAGTAATACTCGTTACTAACAGCTTGAATATGTTGTGATAAACTCAAAAGAAGAAGAGGATAAAGGCTAAGATAATACAATAAAATTCCATCCACTTCACTATATAACTGATGATAACTTTAATTGCTTCTTGAATCTTCTAAATACGATCCAATTATTGAGTATATTAGACGGGAACTAAAGTAGTCCTTGGGATTTTCATAAATCTGGCCAAAACCTAAGCCTAACCTAAACAACGTTAAAGCTGCTTCTGAAGAGTAAGGTTTAATTTATGTGAACGAGCGTGTTGCATAGCGACAAACAGATTAGCAGTTCAAACTTTATACAATTTGAATAAGTACAACCTCAACACCTGAAGCATGGTATATACGTTCTTCAATGAAATGGTTATTTGAGGATGAGGAACAGGGCTGCGTCGAATAACTAATATGGCTAAAATCGAACTTCGATAGCCAACTAAGCTGTAAGTGTTTTGGCACTAGCGCGCGCGCGGAACATCTTCCAACTCCAATTGATAGTTAGCGACAGTATCAGAGCGAGAGTTTGGGAAAGGATACGCACAGCGGCTACAATCTTACGTCTGCTTGAAAAATACACACAGGACAAACTAATGCGCACAACTCGTTGGACATGCCCGGCCGCTCCGGTCGCTCCCATCGCGCGACCCATCGCGAAGTTACTGTGACACACTTCAGGGAAGGCGACATGACCGGCGTCGAGCGCACTCTTCTGGAACTACCGTTAGAGATTATTAATTTTAGTCTCTTGGTGTTTTGCGCAGTTTCTCTCATCTACACGCGCATTGAAAATTGAGCATTTAATCATTAGGATAAGCATTATTCACTGGGAATGAACGAGTCGTAGGGGTACTCGTAACTTTTTGCATGACCGCTTCTCAACGATGACGCGGCCACGCCCACCACAGGAACTATTTTTCACCTAATTTCACCTAACTTTTGGTTTATGGTTTAGGTTTCGTCAGTTGCTTTTTTTGCAATACTAATAATCGAGTGTTGTTTTTGTTTTATGTATTTAAATTGTAATTGATCATTATTATTTATTTGGATGTTTTCAGTTCCGTTCATACACTTTCATAAGGTAAACATATCTTACAAATAAAATATCACTAAGTCATTTGAAGATTCTAATTTTGTAATGTTGTGATAATGAGCAGTTTGTAGCATATACGGTATGCTCTTTGTAGCAGGATTTTATACACAGTTTAACCCACTCGAGCTGATGGTACCAGTTTTTGACTTGTATGGTCTATTGCATAGGTTTTGGAAGGTCAGCTCGTGTGAGGTAGACTACGGTATTGCAGTCCTTTACAATATTTTATGTGAAATGCTATTTTGGAATAAAAGGTTGGATTGGTTCAACGCAATTTTTATTTCGAAGCCAATCGTTCAGCGATGAAATACATACACCTATTTGTTTGTTACAACAAGCTTGCTCTATGATCATAAGTGACCACAATCTTACCGCAAGATGCGCAGAGATGCGGTGCGCGTGAAAAGGGTCAGGACAATCATAATTCGCTGCACCGCCGCGCGCGGCGCATCGCGTTGCGAACACTGCAGTTCGAGAGGTTTCAAACTGCGAGGAAGCTAACGTACCTAGCGTTTGATCTCTCTGCACAGGTACCCCCCTAGAAAGAAAGACTTGCCATTAAAACAGCGTATGTGCGACTGCGGACTGTCTCATTGCCGCATGCGCAGGCGACACCGTTGGCCGCGCCCACCAACGCTGCGAATCACGCTCTCTTGTCACATGTCACGAAAATGGGGAATGTACACCCGGAATGCGACATTCTCAAAACTTCTCCGGAATTCTCTGTGCAGAACCCTCTTGACCAGCCGGCGACCGCTTGATGGAACCCTAGAAATAGCCTTAAAGGCACTCTGTAAGATTATCCGAGAGGTAGATCCCTCTGGTGTACGGAATGGGCAGGTCTACAGCCGTGGAAGCATAGCACTCCGTCATTTGAAAAAGCTCCGCAATGAAGCGAAAAGCTTGTGAGAGCTTGATATTAATTTTTTCACCATGCACGCCGCGATCAATTTACTTGTTGCGTGAGAGGGCGCAGACAGTGTAGCTATGGTTAGGCCGTTTAGCGCGCGTAGCAGCGTTTAGCGTAGCCGAATAGCAGTCGTAGACTGGCAAGTATCTAGCCTCACTGCCATGTACTTGTGGACGTGGCGCGAGTGCCACTTCCCTTTGGCTCCGGACCTGCCACACATGGTTCACGGAAACAATCCACTTTTCACGTAAACATACCAAGTATTCCTCAGGCAATGGCTGCTTAGGGATGGACAGAGCTGTAGCCCTAAAGAGTGATGCGGAGCAAGTGTTTGAGTACTTATAATCAAGAAGCGCAGGTGTAACAGGAAGGTCAAATCCCGATCTACAGCAAGAGGGTACCTGTGCGTACCTCTTGGGCTAAAAACGGCAAATGCTAATTTGTCTGCTCTTTATTGATAATTGCACAACAAATGAATTGGCGGGAAAAGCGTCTCTGGGGATTATAATGACGCGGATCTCCCTTTTTATCCCACACAGGGCAACCCGCCTGCTGACGTAGCACTGGACTACGCTATCTGCGTCATTATGATCCCCAGGGACGCTTTAATAGTGACTATTTATGTTAGCAGCGAAGGCGCAGACAAACAATATATTACCTCCCGTTCTTAGCTCAAAGGGTACGCAAACATGGGATTTAGGTGACAAGACAATCGTAATTGCTGCGCTTATGGGGTATGTGGCAAGAGAATCGTAATTCGCCGCGCCAGTGGGCGTCGCGTGCGACGTCGCGCCCGCTAATGACGACGATTTTAGGTGGTATTGGTCGAGAATAGACAATGTATAACAAAAATAGACATAAGTGTCTACCATGTCCTTGTCTACATGAAATCCGATGCTCTAATCGAAAGGGTAGTGCAAATCAAGGAAACGTCGCGCCCACTGCCGCGTGCGACGGAGCGGCAGTATACGATTCTCGTGCCCGTCTCCCGGTTTGCTTTGCTAGCTTCGTCAAGGCGTTGTTGATGAACTTCAAAAAATGTTGTTGAGAGATCAGGGACGTCGAGACCTAGTTTTCGGTTTTTTTTGTATTTATTACCAAGTTGCTTTGAAAACCCAGCACTATTTATCCACTTATGATTATCTTTACGGAAGCCATTTGTTTCGTTTTGTTGACAGATGTTTCTGACTCGTGCATTGCGTGGTAATTTGAATTTACCACACTGGAATCGTCGCGTATGGGAGATTGGCTATAGTGGACCTCCTTTGCCAAAAAGGAAGGCGTAAGTTCCTTCATTATTCATTAGCATTTACTTACTTCACTGTATTGCTATTAGTGCCGTAGAGAAGAATTAAGCTCCAAAATGTTCAAAAGAATGCTCAAAAGTTCAAGGTGGGAATTATAAGTAATGATTTATGATTTATTTCGGCAAACTATTACAATGGTCGAGATAAAAGTAACACGGTGGCAGGAAAAGTTTATAAGTAACTTTGGCTTTTTTTAAACACGGGTTAGGAAGCGCGACTATAGGTTTTTTATGCTTGGAATAAGGAGGTTAGGGCCTGTTACAACAGCTATGGGGTTAGGTTTGCAGGCATTTGGTTAATCTTGAAAAATAGCTTTTGTCTGAGCTTGAAATTTGACACTGCAAGCAATTTCTATGAGTACAGAAATCCGGGTAAAGCGCTAGCCTTCGAAAATGAGGCATTTCTATGAAGGCTTGAAGTTCCACAAGGTTATCTTTAGAACGGTTGTTCGCCCTCTTCTACTACCAATTATCGTCGTTCATGTTCTTGTAACTCCTCCATAATGTAAAAAATTTTAGAAAAGCTCTGGTTTTCGCAGTGATTTTACAAATCCTCGGTCTGTATAAAGCTTTCAATGTCACAAAACCGCTTCTAGAAGCTCATTTAAAGCCGTGAATCAGATCACAGTAGCTCAAAATTCTTTGGCGAAAGGTCGGGTAAGGCAGAGGACTGGGAGGGGCCCACATTAAAGGCAGTTGGCACGACAAATCGCTATACAGATGTAGGATTTACACGACTGGCTTAACAGAATTCCGTGACCTGGACAGGCGCTCCGTGGCGCCTTTTCCAAGGAGGGTACCCCTATAACGCCTATCGAGCAACAACATTCCGTCCCAACGCGCGTCACTGCGCCGCCCGCACAAACGGACGACCGTTCCTGACGCTCGTATTCATTCATTTGCTGAGCAAATTATGAAGCAAAGGGATTGGTATGAAGCGGCCGTGATGCTGCATGCATATACACATATGCAGCCGTATCTTCGGTAGCGGTGATTGGCAAGATGCTACGGGAAACTCGTCCGAAATCGATTTTCAAGTCACTGAGAACGGAGGCTTTTTCTTCGCCGGATTTTGACCGTTTCACTCCGTTCTTTCGCCATTTCCCCACTATACAGCGCCCTACTAGCATTTTAGGCTAAGTAGGAAACCATCGTGCCAACTGCCTTTAATGCGACGAATAAATAATCAGTGAAAGAATTGAAACTTCCACCGTTTTTGTAGTATATATCAGAGGTGTCAAAAAGGGGGTTGCAGAGCTATCATCTGGTCTAGAAACGGTGTACGCTGTGATATTACGTTGACTTCTATCACAAGAGAGTAATCATTTTCAAGATATTCTCTCACTCATTACGGTTTACTTAATTCCAGTACTGGTCGTCCAGACTACCCAGTATCGTCGAACCAAGTGGCCATATTGCGAAAGCGGTTCGCTCGAGAGTATAATGTAATGAAACTGCTTACCCGTCCATATGTTACCTCTGTGAGTTATTCTATCTACCGCTTTAGTTAGCGGTGATTTTGTTTTCCAGCAACCTTGAAAATGTCTGTTATTTTCTGGGGTACAAGGAGCAGTTTCACCTCGAAGATTTTTTTGCTCGGGTTGTTGTCCATGTAAGGGATATGTTTTGAGTAGTAAGCGTTCCGAACGCAATCAGAATAGTATTATAAGCAAAAAATACTAGAAAAAGCGGCTGCTGCTAGCTTCTTGCACCCGCTGTCGCGACTATGCAAATAAATGCGCCTTATGCCTTAGAAAAAGTGTTAGTAAGCCTCATGAATCTCGCAAAAGGGACGTTCTGTTCGGGCGACACAGTTCTTTCTTTCGTTTTGTTTTTCCACTCTCCTACCTCGATAGGGGCCAAAAGGGAACCACCTTTTCTCTATTCGATACTGTTATATACTGCCTGCTGTTTTTTCCTCTGCGTTTAAATTTATGATTTAGTGACCAGCAATTCAAATGGTTTTCAGGAAGCTGAAGCCGATTATTTCGCATCGAAAAATGTTGCCAGTCTCGACGATATGCGAGAACAAGAAAAGGCAAAAGCTGAGGCTGCGCGTATGCCTGGAAAGGTGGGTTCCTTTTTTTTCATCATTGACTTACTTCTTTGTTTAGATGTTATCTAAATGTAAAAACCAGTTTCTATATTTTCCATTGCTCTCCTAAATTAGAAGGATCTCTATTAGTAAATATTGGCACATTGTGATGATGAGCGCGATTCAGCAGAACATATTCTGGCCACTTGTCTTGACCGATGAATCAGTTAGGTCCTGATGCGAATGTCGCACACTCCCCTTGCATCGCTTAGGCAGCGTTCATACTTCGCGACAGCAGCGGCGATCGTCGGTACGCAACAGAGCGCGCCCTAACGCTATTACTTAGACCGCGCTCTGATAAGTAAACAAATCCAAATTGTGAAACCTTTCTCTCTTAATAATGGCTACTAAGTGAGACTTCTGACTACAGAGGACCTGGTAATGAGGAAGAAGTTTCACCGTTTATTTGGAGGGCGGATAACAGCAGCTTCAGTATCCCAATGTAGCTTCTTTTTGTTTCTTTTGGTTTCATTGTTCAGATTATATAAAGTTTTTCTTAAAAGATTCCAATTGGTAAACAGTACAAGCTTCCCAACATTTATCAGTCTTACAAGTGCGGTTCAAACGAAGCGAAAAAAAAAACAGAAAGAAAGCCCACCTGTAATCGGAACGCCAACTCTTTTATGCAACGTCAAGGAAAAGGAAGCTTCGCAACTTCATTTATACACAACTTCATTTATAATTTTGAATACAGAACAGAAGAAACACTAAGGACTCACTTAGTGAAAACTGTACGTTTTCGCTCAGTTTCATCCATGAATCAAAAAACGATAGAAATTGAAAAGCATCAAATTGGGATCCACCTTTCCTTGAGTCAAGCGAAACTTTACACCTAAAAAAAAAAAAAAATACTTCCATTGAAAAAAAAAAAAGCCACGAAGTTTAGGCCATTTCTGCCTAAAACACTCGGAGTGTCCGAGTATAGCGCCTCTGATCGCTCTGCTATCGCGAGGTATGAACGCCTGCCTTACTTCGCCGCAGCGTGGAACCACTACCGAAGCATCAAGTGCATTACGCGCATAAAATTGTCTCAAATTACTGATAACCAAACTTAGTTGACGTCGTTGTTATTTTATTCTGCGTAGCAGCTTGAAATCCCCAATAATTTGGTCAAGCATTCTCGAATTTTTCGAAATTCTTTCGAAACGCTTTCCATTCCTTACGGCGGATCGCACATCACTACCAACCGAAGCGTGCGGGAAAGTATAAGAAAAGACGATTTGGCAAAATAGCGCGCTTTCAACGAGGGAAATTATGCACAGTTCGGATTGTTTGGGGCATTTTCACGATTCACATAGATCATCGTAGGCTTACAGGAAGTAGCAAAAAAAATCTAGTGAAATCTGAAGACCCCTATGTTAGCAGAAAGTATCTTATTGCGCATATATCAACCTATATTCACTTAGGCGGACCATTCTTAATTTTTGTACAGAAAAGGTGACGATGGCTCCAAAGAGCCGAGTTAGACGTTCGAGCAATGGTGGAACTCTACTTACACAAGCCATACTACGGTTGAGAAGTACCTCAAACTGCATGAATCGAATCGCTGGATCTGAGAAAGTCGTGTGTATTACTGGTGTTAGAGCTTGCAGAAGATAAATCTCAGCGTTAGTAGTAGGGGTTCTCCATTTCCTGTATGAAATTTTTTGGGAGAAACTAGTTCTCAGGTAGTAAATTTTAGGCGTTCCTTCAAATAGATGTTGAGTTGTTATTGTTAATTTAAATGTTTGATTTCGCAATTGCCTACTGGCAGTGGTAGGGCGGCTAGCCGACATACTAGCTTTACAAGCTTATGTCATTTGAGTGATTGCTCAAGCTCTTTCCATAACGTACTCTGCTTAGAAATGGTGTGATTAAAAATGCCTTAGGACTTCTCCAATTCGTTATAGTCATGTTTTGCCTCCATAAAAAAATTTGAAGATTGTTACTCACTACCATCTATATTTCCGTACAATCATGCAGTACATGAACACTTTCTTTCCATTTTTACTCGACCTTTCCTTTTTTGGGACATATCAAAGAACTGCTCCTGGACTGCTCGTTCCACTGGGCGCACGAGTCCGCGGATATGGAGCATACCGTTGATATCGTCACAATCAGTGGGGCGTTTTGAATTTCCACAGTATGTCGCTTCTTACTCGAATCGATTGTCAATCGGCATCATTGATAGCGCAAAGGTGCCAGAGGACATGCTACTTTCCTTCCTCCTGATCCTTCCCAACTAGAATGGCGACGTTATCAGCTATTGCTTCCAGTCCGGCCTTATAGACGTTGCAAGGATCATGTACGCATCACTCGCAGCAAAGATCCAACCACTCAACGTGGCAGCCTTGCGGCGCATCGTTTCCTGTTTCTTATGTGAGGCAGCGTACAGACTTCGCGACGGCAGCGCTTCGGTCGCACGTTCGACACGGATCGATGCAGTCGAAAGCATGCGCATCGATCGTCGAATCGCGCGACGAAGCCTGCCGTCGCGAAGTCTGAACGCTGCCCTGACGTCAGCCTGAATAAAATTCATTGTCCTACTGGAAACAGCCAATGTGAAGGCGAGCTTACAGACGAAGGGAGCGGCCTCACTAAGCGCGTATGCTCCAGAGACGAAGAAGCGGCTTTACTAAGGCGTGCTGCAAGACGAAGAGAGCGGTCCATTGTGGGAGGCTGACGATGAGAAACCAATCATCAGGAGTAGATCACCTCGGTTAGGCATTGTTCACAGTTTGCGACCCAGCGTTTCTCTAGAAAGAAACGCTTCGGCGAAAAGCTTTCGATACGTATCGATTGGCGGTTGGGCGAAGAGTCTGGCGGTTGCGCGAAACGGTTTTGATACGTATCGACGGGCGGTTCGGCGGAGCGGTTGGGCGAAAAACGCTAGCCCGACCGCCCTGGCGTTTTTCTCTAGGGCGGAGCCAGCGAAATCGATACGCATCTATTGCTTTTCGCCGAACCGCGGCGGCGTTTCTCCAGAGCGGTTGGCGATTCTCCGATCAATACGTATTTATTGCTTTTCGCCGAACCGCTGTTTCGTCAGGGTCGCAAACTGTGAGCAATGCCTTACCGATTGCGTTGCCGAATGCATCCATATAAACGCTCAAATGTGTTTTTTAGACCTAAAAGAGACATTCTTTTCGAGATCTAAAATCTCTTATAACCTGGACCTTTTATGTCGCATCCCAAATGGCTACTTCGACATGGAGTCCATCCTTAATCAGTAACCGAAATAAGTCCATTGCTCTGTGAGTTTGACGGGTTATGTCGAATTCACCGCGAAAAACAAAAATATCATATATCTGTACATTTATTGCTCAGTAAACCACAAATCAAAGGAAACCTAGCTATTTCTTCCTTCCATATGATCGTGTCGTTGTGGAGTAAGGCAACGCTGTGCTGGAACCAGATCCATAGGTTCCGGTGTTGTAATTGTATTGCCCATTACTATACTTTGAGTTCATATTGTTACTGCTCATGCTCGGATCGTAATAATACATAGAGTTGGACGAGCTCGTGCTGGTCTGATAGCAACATGATGTAGAGGTTGGGCCACAACACCAGCTTTGGCTGTTGTCATACTGTTGACCGTACTGCTGTTGGCCGTACTGTTGTTGGGTGTTTGGAGTATTGCTGGTTTTGTCCATAATAGTTCTGATTACTGTTCGCTTGGCCATAGCCAGTACTGTACTGGTATTGTTGTGGCTGGTTTTGATTGGGATAGCCAAGGTTGGTGTTCAGAACGGCGTCGTAGTACTTGGTGGGCGAGTTTGAGCTTGGGTTATAGTTCTGATTGGCTGATCCACTATAGTAGCCGTAGGACGAGCTTGGATTGTATTGCTGATTACTGTAACCTGACGACGGGCTGTAATAGGATCCACTGTAGGATGAGCTGGGATTGTACTGCTGAGTGTTGTAGCTTGTTGATGGCACGTAGTTGGATGAAGATCCTGAAAATGTGATGTAATTTGACAGAAAAATCTTGTTTTGAAACTTATGGCGTTCGAGATTTTCTTCATTTTCAAGTTCCTAGCTCGAATGTACCCTTAGGCAGCGTTCTTACGACGCGACGATCACCGATTTGATGTAATTTGCCGGAAAAATCTTGTTTTGAAACTTATGGCGTTCGACATTTTCTTCATTTTGTTCTTAGCTCGAATGTACCCTTATGGTTAGGCAGGAACGTTTCAATATTAATAAATTTCGTGACAGCAGCGGCCGATAGCGGCTGGTCGCCGAGGTCGCGCCGGACCGTCGGCGATCGCCGCTTGCTGTCGCGAAGTATGAACGTTGCCTTATGTTGACTCACAGCCGTGTCTTGCTGTTGGGAAAAGCAATCCTGCGGAGAACGATATCCCCTCAGGATTTCCTCAGCTTCGGATTCCCTCTGCTTCGACTGTCGCCCTTCCCCATCTCCACGCTACCTTCCGTCTTCCCGGATGTCCCCAACTTCTTACCACCACTGCCGTCGACTAGGGGATGCAGGGAGGTTAGAAGCGCCCCTAAAAAAGAGGAAAAACTGAGGAAGGCAACAACCGAGAACATTTTATGCCAACGGGATGTTTGACCCTCCCTTCTCCAGCAACCAAATACTCCTCCCCCTGGCTGGCTATCATCAATGTACCACGTGCCGTGGTTGGACTAGCTACTTTGGCAGATTTAGTATCTCCGTTGTCAAAGTTGAGTCATGCTGTAATTGGTCGCGCGTCGCGCCACCCTGTTTTGTTACCAGCTCCGCTGAACGAGTTATCACAGTGGAGTTGATGGAGGACGACTGCAGGCAAAGTTATGTACATCTTGCTCGCGTTGCGCAAAAACAAACGGGCTGGCGGCGTGTCTGCGCGGCTGCGTTTGACGCAGCGCCAGCCCGCTTAATTTCTGCAAGCGACAAGACTCTACCTTAGTCGCGTAAAGGGATGACGGGAGAGGCAAGAGAATCGTAATACGGCGCTCCGCCGCGCGGGGCGATGGGCGCGACGCTTTCCTAATTCATGTTAGCCTGCCGATTGGAGCACCGGATTTCACGTGGACTACGAAACTGTAGACATTTATGACTCTTTTTGATTCTACATTGCCTGTTGTCTTCATCTGAGACCTGGAACAGTCGTCATTTCTGGTGCGACGTCGCTCGCGACGCCTATCAACGCGGCGAATTTCGATTCTCTTGCCACATACCCGCGCATGACACCTCTCCCCCAACTACCTTTACCTTCGGAATCCACAACATTTCCTTAGCTGTTATGGAATATGCAATGGTCAAGTCAACGCCGGCGTTGGAGCGCGCCGGGATAACTTCTCTCCTGTGTTGCGTCCTTTGCCTTGCTCTAATTACCGCACTTAGTTGACTGACTGAAGCACGTCCGCGGGGCGCAAAGTAAATAAATGAGTAGATTAGTTCATCAGTTGTCAGAGCGACACTGGAGAGCAGAGACGGCTCAAAGGACTTGGGGTTTCTTCGCGACTATTTATCGCTTATTAGTAATTATCGCTTATTAGTAATGTGCATGCGTTCAGGTTGGGTTCTTTTAGTTCAATCACCCTTCGACGAGTGCACCCGAGTAGATTACTGTGGTTAGTCAAATACCATGCAGTTATTACGCGGTATGGGCGTCTGTATCTCAACATGGGCGGAGACATCA